ATATATATATAATCATTCTATGACCCCTTTAACTCAGTACTTTAAAGCATAAACTGTTGCTGCCATTAACACAGGTCAAACATTTCCGGTAAACTTTCACCAGGTTTGCTTACTCTATCGCTGATATTTTGGCCTTTATCTTCAGGCAGATCTCCTCTAGAGTATTTATGTTTGGGGAAGGCAATGGGCATCACATACTTTATATTCCAACATTTTCTATGGGTTTTTTATCTTGTTTCAGTTGACCTCATGATATTCTCCCAACCATCTTGTGAATCATCCATATGCTCTCTGGTTGACTCTATATACACCTGGACATTTCCTAGCTTAAGCAGGGCTCCTTTTTGGCATAGTGTGTTACCGAAGGTAGCCTTTGCCGTTTTCATGACCCTCAAGGTAGATAATCAATGATCTTGTATGTCTTCCATTTTCTTACAATTGTTCCCATTGTTTACACCATCCTGCTTGCCTATTGTAGAGTCACTCTTTCCAGCCTGGTGCATGTCCATGGTTTAGTTTGGAGTAGGTGGACAGGTGTCACTTATATAGATAACGACTTTGGACCAGGGACCGTTAATCCTGGTAATGTGTACTTGTTTGTGGGTGAACAAATACTTATTTCCAACCATGATTTATCAATATATTATATAAAAAAAAATTATATTTTATTTTCTAATTTTCCCATTGTTGAAGGGCAACTATGATGGAAATAACAGACTTATCTTTCCAAGTAGAAGAATATGCATAATCCTACTAAATCATACTTAACCCCCCCCCCTTATTTATTACAATATGAATGTATCCAACAGCAGTACAGTAATGGACAGAAATATAATGCTTTGATTAATGCAGTCAGCCTGACAGTATGAAATCAAGGCTACAGTGGCTTTCTACCCATCACTGATTTAATAAAGTAATACTGCTGATGTTGAGGGCTTGCTGGTGACTTTCACGCCTTGTTGCCTGAACTCACCCTGACACACATTCCCACTACCTCCCTCACAGGAATGCTAAGGCTCTTTATTGGCATCTGAATTCTCAGTAATCCTTCTGCTTGAACTGTGCTGTCTGTAATAACAATACTTGACAACAGCAGAGGTCTTGGAGAAGTCAGTACACTCAGTGCCCTCTCAAAGCAGGCTTATTAAACCTGGAGTCTGGAGTGAAGGAGGACAATGGAGGACATTTATCTGTATGACTAACAATCCTTAGACAAATTGGATGGTTTAAATTTCAACTAAAGGGACTTCAGTAAAGGCCTTTGTTCTACTTCAGCTCGGAGACAGAAGTAGAACAATAATATGGAAACACCCACAAAACCTTCTCCTGTTGCTGGATTGTGTTTAAAATAAGAGAGTAAACCTGCATCAGGACTTTAGCGCAATGCAGCAGAATGGCTCTAAGAGGTCAAGGACCCCTTTCAGTTGAAGGTACAGACAGTGATGAGGAGGCAGATTATAATATAAACTCAGCACACATTTATCTCCATGGTTCCTCAGTTCAAATAACCTTGGTGTCCTGATCGAATAACCAGAAATACACTTAAATATAGATAAACACCCCGTTGGAAAAAAAAATGTTTCATTGCTTCTTTCTCCTTCTTTGTTTTAATGGTAAACAAACTGGATGAACTTAATGTTTTCATACTATGGCTCTATATACAGGGTTGTATTGTGTTGTGGTTCCACTGTTCGCGTAGCAAACAATGGCAGGATTTTTGAAAACTGTTTCCAGTGTGTACGGATTCAAAATTGACCAGAACATCATCTTTGTGTATACAAGAAACAAAAATAATCTGCCTGTATGAGGATGTGCATAAAAATATTGAATGGCCACTAGTCTTAAAATAACATTTAAGGTTTTATAATTCAAGCACACTCAATGCAACCGTAATTACAGTAGACTGTTCCCTGCTACTGTGTTGGGCACAGAAAAGTAATTAAAGGTCATACAGAAAAATAGTTTAGACACGTTTTTAGTGACAAAGTCCACCTCCAAACATTATCTGTGCAGTCATTTCATCAGGATTACGATCCTACTAAAATAGACCTCAAGCATACTAGCCGGCTGCAGCTCTGGGAATCCCCACTGAAGGCTCTCCTAAGCAGCCAGCCTATAGGGACTTCCTGTTAGCGTTAGGCTGAAAGTGAATGTAACAAGTTTTTAAGGTTTGTGGTAAAAAAAAAACCTGCCAGCACCAGAATATACAATTTAATAATTTATTTCATCAGTAGATTTCAACATTTTTAGTTAATTTGAGTATTTATAAACTGTTTTGTCATAGTTCATATAAAATATTTTAGTGCAGTAATAATAATAATCAGAGATCACTCTCTTTTCCTTGTACAAAAAAATCCATTCTCGCAGCTGTTTTTTTTAAACCTTTGGAGTTTAACTCTTTATGTTTATTTATCTTTCATACACAGATAGCTCTGAAATGAGCTTATCTGCATGCTTGATGCTCTGCATCAAGCTGCAAAAGTTTCTAAACTCCAGGGTTGAACGTTGGGAAGCTCTTTCGCTGAGATGGCAGGATGTTCTGATGCTTGGATGCCCAGGCAATCGAATGCACCTTTCCTGATGCTCGGACGTGCCGCAGGACCTCTCTACACTGCTTGACGCGGTCCTCCATAGACTTTGCATCTAAATCAGATGCTTTCACGCCCAGAACGGGTTCGCTGTGAACATACCTTATTTCAACTTTTCTCTGCAAGCATTTCTTTTAATGGAAGATGAAGAACCTTTTGTTGTAGTAATCCACAGTAGTTAATCCAAGCTCCCCTACGCCACTCCAGGGGTTTATTGATACCTGGATTACTCTACTTTGCTAGAAAAAACCCTTTTATTACTACAGAAGTATGCATCCTTTTAACAGTGATCCCTCTGATTTTATACTCAGGTTTGCTGCCTTTATTCATCAGTCAACCTGTAATGTCTCATCATCATAAACTGGAACTATTTCCCAGTTAACCTTGTCCCTGCACTGACCCACCTCAGGATGCTGTTTCAATTATGGCCACAAGAGTAAGCAACGCCTGATTTCACTGAAGACACATTTCCATGAAGTGAAGTTCAAGAAGTACCCGTCTGGTACCAGAATACACTGAGGAGTACGTCTCAGGTTACACAGCACGTACATTCTTCATTGCTTCTTGAAATACATGCTAAGGTCTCAGTGCAGGACTGCTGCTGGTTAGTCCTGTCTAATGAACAAACTAAACCCAGGGTTATCTAGCACTGAAGTGGCGTTCATATATTTTTATTGCCTCCAAAGTAATGAAACTGATTAAAAACCCCTGTGCAATAGACCCAGTATTATTGTGGGCTGCTCTACATCTTCCCCCTCCAAAGCATTCGAATGTTTGTTATTTGCAGTTTTTAAAGGAATGCAGTGCAACTGTTGTTGATTTGCATTTAGAAAACTAAATCTTATTTTTTTCTTTTATGTTGTCTTGCATTTGCAGCAGCATTTATTTTTCCCTTTGAACTTCTAGCCATGCAGTAACTGCCTGGTTACTATCAGGGTAAATTCATTTTATAATGCCCTTTATAAAACAAACTTCATCAACAGCCCAATGATGTCACATTAGATCTTAAGTTGCATGAATAAGCAGCTCATCAGCTGAGCACAAGCAGGCCACTCTATAAAGGTAGAAGCTTTGGAAGTTTGTCAGTGCTTAGCACTTAGAATTCAAACTTGTCTTCTAATTTTAGACAGCAGGACAAGGTTAACGGAGATCCCCTTTGTTTAAAAGATAAGTCTGTATTCGTTCTTCTCTCTGTCTGAATCTTTTCAGTGTAAACACTGACTTAAAAGATTTAAAAGCATCTGGTAACACCCTTCTTTACTTTATTTATTCATACAAGTAATTATCAATGTTTGTTTGTTGAACGCAATAATATACTGCAGGATAAATAAAATGATTTAAGTATAAATTATTTTATCTAATGTAGTGAACTGGGGGGGGTGTTGGCCTAGTGATAAGAGTAGTGCACTTGCGCTCTGAGAAAGTTGCAAGTACCCGGTCGATCCCCACAGAATTCCACTCTGGGTCCCTGAACAAAACCTTTAACCCCACACTACTTCCCAGGCGCCGCACAATGGCAGCCCACTGCTCCCCAAAGGGGATGGGTTAAATGCAGAGGTGAATTTCTCCAGTGTGAGATCAATAAAGTTAAATTATTATTATTATGAACTGAAGTGAAATGAAGACTTGATCAAATCCATAGGCCTAAAAACTGCTAATGTGATTTATCACACCATGTCTTATTAACTCAATGAGAATATCTGGAGTAAAATAATACCTGAATAGAATGTGTTGATTTTCAGGAGCTCCTTCTCGCATGTCTGGAAAAACCTCTCTTCAAACTTAGCGTAGTATCTCTTTACTGTGTCTTCATCTGTAACTGGAACAAAAAGCAAAAAAAGAACAAACATGAGGTTATTAACTAATACCCAAGGAAGCAAGTAATTATAAAAGGATATAAAGTATCACTGCCTTTTGTCTATAGTTCTCATCTAACTATAGAATCCACAGACACTGGATATTTGAGTAAGCTTAGTTTATATCAAAGCCCAGACACTGAAGGATGAAACCACGTCACAACTTTTTGATGGAAATCACTCATTTATTAGAATCTTTTTTACTTATCCCTCTAAATAATAGGGTTCAGATTTTCAATAAACTGAAATCGCCATAATTGTATAACATTTAGCATTTTGTTATTCAAATTAATTTCATTGGCATAAACGTGCAGACTTTAGGTGACCTTCAACTTATCTTAAGAAATATTTCAAGTGCTTCATGGAAAGGGTTTCCATCGGCAAGCACCTTCCAGTCCTTACAACACAAAATGCATTCTAAAATGTAAGATGTTCAGTAATGGCTCCAAGCTGTGGAGACTTCCTCTCTGGAGGAGTGAATAGTACTTTTCTGTCTGACATTATATTTACTTTTTTTCCAGGAGTTGAAAGCATCTCTATATTTTCAATCAAATGAGCTCTTAATGTTCCAGAGTGCCAACATGTTTTGATTCTATTTCATGCTCCAGTAGTTTGAGGGGGCAGTTTTGGGAGGCCCGACATGATTCATCTGTGCACAAAGCAAGGGCCATAAACATATGGATAAAAGGAGTGGGTGAGAAAGGACTTCACTGTCTTGCTCAAGGTCCCAATCCCAACCTAACAGAAAACCTTTAAAATATATTAGAGCTGAAACCAAGAGAAAGGTCTTCTCATCTAACAAAACTAATCTAATCTTACCTAATGAATGCACTTTTAGAAAAATGGCGAGAATTTCAACACACTCCTAAACCTTGTGAAAAAAAGCTTTCTATCAAGAGTTAAAACTACAAAGTTTTGGCTATCATCTTAACCCTATGAATTATAAATGGATAGTCACTCATATTCACAAGTGAGTACAGCAAGAAGATCTAAAAACATTACCTTGTTATAAATTGCTGTATTCCAATTTTAGGACAAGTTCTGTTACTACATTTGTACATTTCTTAATGTCATCTGTATACCCATTTTCTTCAACATAAAAAAAATATTGTAAAGCAAGAAAGTGTTCAGCAATTTGAATGTGCAGCAACTCCTTTTGTCGTAGAGGTAATGATTAGGTGACCTAAATAGCTAATCCTTCTATAACTGTGTGTATTCCTTGAAGGATTCGGGAAACATCAGGCATGCAGACTTTCATTCAAAGACGGAATTAGATCAACAGCTTCCTGTCTCTCCGCTGTCTGACTAAATCCTCCTTGTCTTTTTCAGGACATGCCAATTCAATCAGTATTGATGGTCTGTCTCAAACCATCATTTGCCTCATTCACAACAGGCTACCCAACACCTGACAGAGGTTAACATGCAGCCAGTGGAGAGTCAATGTATAACATTCACACATAGTAGCCCGTATACACATAAGGCGTCAGTGGAAAAATGATCCAGGCTGATGAACATAACCAAACTATTTGATCTAAAAAATGCATAGAGGGCTGATCTTCAAAAGGTTTGCTTGCTCACGGTTAGCTCAACTAAGGCTGCAACTAATGGTCATTTTGCTAATCTGCTGATAATTTCTTTAATCAGTTGATTAATAATCAAAAAGCATGCTCATTAAAGAACTTTGTTTTTATACAGAATACAAATCAAAAATGGTTCAGTTCAATTTATTTATATAGCGCCAATTCACAACAGACTTAATAGTCACTTTACACAGACAATTCCACCAGTTTATACAGTCAGATTGGTTCAAAGTTTTCTAAGAAAACCAGCTGATTGCACCCACTCATTGACTCGAAGGCAATCCCTTACACCAAGCATTCTTGTAGCGACAGTGGAGAGGAAAAACTGCCTTTTAACAGGAAACCTCCAGCAGACCCAGGTTCAGTGTGAGTGGCCATCTGCTGAGGCCGACTGGGGTTCAAGGAGATTCCACTTGAGGAGTCCTGAATAGAGCATATCGGCGGATAAAACCACTTTGTTTAATCTTAAATGCAAAATATTTTACATTTTTTTTTTTTTTTTTTTTTACAATTTTGGAATAATTACTGCTCTAAGTGGATTGCTCTGTCAGCTAAAGGCATGTTTTAGAGTAGTAATATCAATTTAAGAACCATCAACCAAAACTTCCCCATACTGGGACAATACAGGGATTCTCTAATCTATTCTATTGTATCAAAGAAAATGTTATGAACTGCAAAAGACAGTAAAATTAAAGTGTTGAAAAAGCATTTCATGGTTCATTCAGTCTTTTATCTTAAATTTCAGTGATCAGATGTATTCTTTATTGTTATACATGTACACAGGTGCTCTCATCGCTCTTCCATCCCAGGAGTTCAGGTGCCTCAGGATCTGCCATCGGCAATACTGAATGCCAGGCTACTTTAGGTGGGTGTACGGAGGGAAAAACACATTTATTCTTCTAAACGATTGGCCAGTCAACATTAGCTGTTTAAAGGAAGTGATGGAGCACCGGGCCAGCCGGTGCACCCTGACAGTCTGACTGATGGGGTAATACACGGCTTTGACCAGACCTGTAGGCAGCAAGCGGAGGATGCTGTAATTCAAAGTAAAAGGTTACACACAGTAAATAAAAATGACCAAACACTCGAGCATTGATCATTCAATAACAAAATAACTGAGTTAGCTCAACAACACCACCATTCCACGCACTGACCATTATGCCAGCTTCTACATAATAGCAGGCATATGATTGATGCCAAGCTTAATAAGCAAAAATGTTTAAATCTTGTCGCTAAACAGCAGCTTTAGTATTTTTATCTCAACTGATCAAATACTTAGTTTTTCCCCCAAAATAGACTACGAAAATAGAGCAGAGTACTTTACTGGTAAATCTATTTATACCCCTAGATTTATTTTTAACATTCACTATACTAGAACTAGAAACAAAAATTAGTTTTATTAGGATTGTATTTAATATACTAATAGAAAATAGTGCAGGGTTATGGTCAATTAAAAGAAGAGAGTTCAGTCAAACTCACTTAGATTCTGGTCTGGGCTTTAACTAAACTTAAATGCTTTCAATGGGCAATGCTTTGATGTAAACTACTTAATTGAAGCCCTGACATCATGTTTAGGGAAGTTGCCCCATTGGAAGATGGACTTCTCTCCCACTACGAAGCTTAAGGATTGGGCTTAATTAACCTTCGTTATATTGAAACACTGACCAGCTTCCCAGTCTGTGACAAAAAAGTGGTCAATATGAATATGTGCATAATCGTTAGCTAATACCTGATCCCACCTCCCCTTTCTGATCTGGAAAATCCAAGGAAAACATTGATGTTTTTGTGTGCAACTTCAATATTTAAACACAGAATGTAATTACTTTATGAGTTGATAACAAAACAAGGTATTTGTGAAAACAAATTGATTTTAATGCTGCAACTTTTTATCAGTGAAACCTCACTAGCTACATGTATACATGCACAAAATGCCTGATTGAATGTGTTCAGATCAAGGAAAGAAATAATAAGGTCAATACAATGTTTTATATGGTTTCAAAATGATATCATACAATATGGACATGCATTTACTTAGACCAGACTTTATTAAGAATAGAAGCACTCTGACATGCACAGTTTTCCTAAAACAACTGCAGAAGATGTATTTTATATCTGCCTGTGCAGAAAAAACTGTGTTGACTCTGAATGTTGAAAAGGACCCACACCAGACCCTAAGTGCGGCTGACGATAAATACCTTTCAGAATTTGGATACATGCTCAGCAAGTCCATCATTTGCTGTTCCTGCATTATAGGCTGGAAGAGCTGGAGAAAATAAACATCACTGTAAAGTTTTCTGCTGCCTAGTGCTGATGCCCCATCCTCCACACACAAGTAGTAAGGTCAGTTTTCCCCAGTCCAAATGACACTGGTGTTGTAATTAACACAATATAATACGAAATAGACTGAATCTGATCGGAATTATCACATTAGTGTGTTTTACATCACAGATTTTTCTTCTGATTAGCTCTTTATCACAAATAGTTCAGTCAATGTAAACATTTCCACAGACAAATTGTTAGGGAAGCCAGGTATATATTTTACCTCTTCTAAATCCCACACTCAGTATTTATATTGCAGAAAATCCTATTGGTTTGATATAAATAAAATATGAAAAATAAAACATCTAAACCTCATTAACATAATATCTGTACATTTTGGATACAGAGGCAATGTTTTGATTTCCTTCAGAAAGTTAATTTGGCATATAGTCTTAGGAGGTAGAGATTCTGTCATTTCACACAGCACGGTTTCTCATTATGTGTTATCTAGAGAAAAGATGACAAAGGCAACTTTCAAGAGCTCAACAGCCACCAAAAAATTACCCTAGAGGCACGAAAGATTTAGACAATTAAAGCTGACAGAAACTGAAAACAATAAACATTGTATTTTGAGTTCTGCATGATACCATAAAGATTTCAAATCCTCTGATCTATTATTCTCAGATATAAATTACCTCCTTTACAAGATGTATCTTGTATTTCTGTAAAAGGATATCTTCCGTCAAGCTGACATACAGACAGCAGGGTACAAAGAGGAACCCTCCAGCTTATCCTTCAGCCAACGATTAACGGCTCCCTGCAGTAATGAAATCTCTAGCCTCCTATGTATGTGTGTGTGTTAGAGAGATTTAATAAAGCCTGTTCCTGTACGACTGGGTACTTCCAGCACCATAACTACTATATATTAAGAATTTATTTCATTCCGGATCAACAAAGAGAAAAAAAAAAATCAATATGTCATAACTGTATTTACCAACATTTTTATAAATAAATCTTAAAGGCACACAACTTTAAACCTTTTTTTCTTATTTCAAAATGATCTAAATTGATATTTAAGGTTAAAAACCTTTATAGTTTAGAAGCAGATTTTTGAGAGGTGTTTA